TATGAGAGGGCCATTCATTCAATCCCTATGCTTCTCTCTCTCTCTCTATTTCTCTCCATAATGCCAGCATTAGCTGCAAGCTGCTAGCTGTAAAAGTGCTTTGATGTTGACCTCTCACTGCCATTGACAGACCCTCATTGGTGGGTGAGTAGCAGAGCAATAAGGGCATGTGTGGGAGAAAAGAGGATGAAAGCCTGGACAGCTAGGAAGGGATAATATGAACAGATTCCTGCCTGTTCACTTAGTTTCTTTTTCTTTTTTTTTTTTTTTAAACTGGGTCTTCTGATTACAGAGGTTATGAACCAGTAAAACTTCAGAAATGACCACTGAAAGCCTGCTGTACATGAAGAATCAGATAATTGTTCCAGCTCTTGCCTTGTAAAATTAAATCAAGCCATGAACTAGGCAAGAACGCGTAGGGGAGTTGAAAACATTTTCCTGTTTAAGGCAGTGAAATAGTGGGGGTTTGTCTGGTACATACAGTAATACTGCAAGGGCAAGTAGCGTGTAAAATGGCATGTAGGGGTGACAGGAGAGTTGCCTACTAATTATGTTGATTATTGTTTCTTATCTTATGCCAAATCCTAAAGCATAAGTCTTAGATCCTTTAAAAGGATCCAAACAGAAAGGTATACTAAGAGGCTGAAAGAACTTGTAGAGGTTTCTGCCCCAGGGAGCACGTGTATGTATACACATGCATGTATGCACATAAAAAGCTCCCTATTGCACCCCACAGTGTTCTTGCATATACTATAAGTGCTTCTATATTCAAATCCCAGTGGGCCCCCTGGGCCAAAAGCAGTTTTGCACCCTCCAAAAAGAACTGGGAGATGGAGGGTAGATGAGGACCATGGGCCAGCTGTTTTGTGAAAGCATAGCCAGCTAAGCTGGGAAACTGGAAAGCGTTATTGCTGCCTGTGCCCTATTGAGGCAGGATGTCTCCAGCCACTTCACCTCTGCACTCTCCCTTCACCTCTGTGAAAGCTCTCCTTGTCATACTAATAATTAAACCCTAAGGCTCTAACTTGAAATGGCCAAAAGGCTCTGTAAGGCCAATGGAGGGAACAGGAGGGAGGGAAAGTTCACACAAATTTGTATTGGCAACCTTGGTTTTAGTTGCAATCTGAAAGGCCAACTACTGCAATAAAGCTGCATGCCTGACAGCTCCCATGGCCTGCGCTCTGTAGAGTAGCATCTGATCTTCTGCTTGTGTGGGACATGAAAGAATCTGTCCCACCTCCTTTCAGACCCTGCAATTACTCCCTGTGGGCAGCATTAGGCCATCAGAGTTGCTTAAACCATCCTAGGTGAGCTGTAGATCATGGGTTCAAACCTGGCCTCTTGCCACTTGCTGTTATGTGGTGTGTAGCAAAATGGAACAAAATGGCTGGAACAAAAGGAATCTGTTATTGGAAAAACAGGGGAATGGGTGAAACAGGTGCCTGTGTTACAAACTGCCTCGCAATAGCCTTCATTAGCGAGCATGTCGGCAAGCTCAGCATTCAGATAATACTCTTGTTACAAACACTTGAATAAGAAAGAAGCCATCACTGGACTGAATTTCTTCTTTAAAAATTATAAGGAATTAAGCACACACTTTTGGTGCAGGGACTCTTCACACATTAATCCACTAGAAAGAAAGAAATCTTTCACTGAATGATTAAAAATGTTCACATTTTGGAGGGGACAAACTTCTACAGCACTTTTTGCCTTGCCGTCTGCATTTGCTATCAGGGAACTAATTCTCCAGTCAATTTCACAGATGGTTTCCTGTCATTACTATACAATTGTATTTATTTGATAATAATTTTATAGGACTTTTTCTAGAGGGATTTGGAATTACATGTTCAGCTTGTAGCAGTTTTTGTAAGGTGTGTGAAAACTGCACTCACTCAAAACTTCCTTGCCTAAACTTTTAAAATAGAAAATGCATTTCAATTGAAGCAAGAAATCTTGCTAGAAGTGTCTTGGTTAAAGTTTTTCAATGCATTTTTCTCTGTGCAAAGGGAAGTGTATATAACCCTCTCTGTTCTGTCACTTTACCTTTTGCTCTTTTCAACTGATTTGAAATAAAGAATATTTTCCCCTTTCCAACAAGAAATGAAACAGGACTTCACTAGTTTTTTAAAAAAGTACCATTTTTTTAACTTGAAAGGAGACTGTGGCATATATTTTAAATTTCATATCTTCTTTTACTTAAGGTAGCCATGATGAACTTAAAGACTTTGTCAGACACTGCAGAAAACTGGGGGTTTTTGTGCAAGTTAAAATTCCACCCAAAAGAGAGTATATGTGTCCCGTTTCTGTTATTCTTCCTGGAAAGGTTCCTTCTGACATTAAGTTCTTGATGAACATTTTCCTTTAAAATATTTGTTAGAACAGTCCAGTCTCTGCCAAGGCACTGTGGTGCTCCTAAACTACCTGAGGTTACAAACCCTTGCTGGTTGGTGGGACTCTACTGAGCACAGTGTCACTGGAGCAAGCAAGGGTTTCTTGTATATACGGTCATTAAGGAAAACAGGTCTTCATGGGGCACAAGCTCCATTCTATGACTTCAGGGAGGAGGTTTGAATCTGAATTATCTCGTTGAGGGCTATGTTACAGAAGCCTGGGGAGCTGTGAACATAAGGTTCCTTCTTCAGCATTTTCAGTTAACAAAGCCTTGGGGGATCTGGATAGGTAGTTGAAGTCTCCACTCAAAAGGATTAAACACATATCTCTGCCAGAGGTATGGCAGCTGTTTTGGTAGATATTTTGTATTCTGTCTGTCTGTGGGCTGCTGGAATCCTTACTGTTCCCTGAAGTATCATTTCACTCCACTGAAAATCACAAGTGATAACTCAGGAGGCAGTAAAATTACAGGGTCACAGAGTACCCCCAGTATGCTTGAAATCAGGTCACCAACCTCACTCAGCTGGTCCTCTTGCTGATACCTTCCCTTTTCCCTTTTCTCCTCTCCCCTGTTTTCTTTGTGCCTCAATTATTTTTAAAAAGAGCCAACTCTCCAGGACCTATAAATACAAGAGGATGTGGACAATGGATAGTACTGGAGTAAAGGAGAATATGTGTCTGCTGCCCTTTGGTCTGCTATGGCCATGTGTCTGGCACAGCTCGTAACACCCTGTACTCTGTCATGCTTTATAGTCTTCCAGTACTGCACAGAATGGAGTCCTGCCTGAGAGCAAGTCCTGCTTCAAAAGGAAACTCAATAAATATGTAATTGTGAGCGGGTGTGACTGTTACTGGCTCCCAAATGGTTTGATGGAGCATGTCAACATTGGTACTTTGCAATTTTATAGTATAAGCTGAGTGTGAAAAATGGAGTGAGTGAGGGAGAGAAGAGGAAAGGGATATGGATGCAAAAGGCAGAAAGTTTTGAAGTCCCAGTTTTCTCGTGGTGTTCACAGATGAGCTGTGAGTGGTGGAATGAACTGAATCAGTCTTTCAAATTCAGGTTTTCTCCCAAGACCAGTACAATCAAGACTCAACTAAATTTGTGGGAACTCAGAATATTGCAGGGGTATTCCCTTGATCACATTGTTATCCTTGAATTTTCTCCTACTCTGTACAGGAAATTAAGAACTCCAAAGTGAAGGGTACTGGGTGAATACCCAAAGCATCCATTGAAGATTTCCAACATACCAGTTACTTCATTGAATTCTTGTTAAAGTAAATGCCTCCTTTAGATGGTCTTTCTGATACCCAATCTTCTGTTTGAGCTTATGCAGCTTCAATTTTTGCTGATTTTTATTTTTAATAACAATTCCCTTGCAAATGCTAAGCCTGACTTGTTAGGTTTTGATAAATTGGAGTACTGGTACAGGTACTACGGACCTGCTGTATGAAGTGTTCCTGCTCCTGGGATCTCTTCTTTGTCTTTCAGAAGTACTTGTCATTCTTCACTGAGACAAACTTTGTGCCTGTGAAAAAGTCCAAGTTCACCGAGGTGTTTTAATTATGTCAAAGCAAGAAAACAGTGATGGCATTTTTTTCCCTAAAAGCTGCCAAAGAAAAAAAATTGGAGGTGTGAACCTTTCTGTTCCTCCTCATTCCAGGCATCCTTGTTCCTGCTAGTTCTTTGCAGGAGCTCAGAGATCACTCTGCTTTGCTCATAAACCAGAAACAGTCTTCCTGCCTTGCAGTGAAGGGAAGACCTGTTCTAAATCAGTAAGGCACTGAATGCATTTCAGTTGCCTGCTCAGTAGGATGGGGGCAAGGAACTGAGGAAACCACCTACAGATGAGGCAGTTGTGTGAGTCATGAGAAGAGAGAAATGTTCAGCACTTCTCAGGAGGTTTTTACCAGTTGTAGAGAGGAAGCTGAGCTCATAAGTAAAACTCCCAGAAAATATGAAGCTTTGTTAGTGCATGGACAGCCATGAGGAGGCCAAGACCCAGTGTTTGCTTTTAAGGGGTGCTCATCTTACCCAGGGAGCAGGAAAGCTTTCTTGCAATGGATGTTATTGTGCAGAGCTCCTCAAGGCAGGTTTGTTCCTTTTTAATATTCCAGTTTTTCTCTGTTCATGCCAGAAAATATGACTTAGGTTTCGTTTTATAAAAATAATAAAGCCAGAAAAGGTTAAACTCAGATTTGGCCTCTTTGCTTTCTAAAAGAGAGCAATAGACATTTTCAAAGGACCAATTCCAAAGCTTTATTATACTACTACAAGGCCCGTAGGAGGGAAGAGTGTTATGCCCAACTCATAATGCAGACAGAGAAAGATGGATTTTTAAATTATCTACCTTTGCTTTGCAACGTGAACATTTCAGGGCAATTATCCTGAGATAATGCCTACAAATTGCTGAAGACTTTGGGTTTATAATTGCTCATGTTCATTTAAGGTTCCCAGCAGACTAGCCCAGGAAAATCACTGCCAGTCAAGCCAAGGTTGATGGTGTACGGTAACTGAGTTTTTCTTAGAAGACAGACAGACAAGCAAATCAGTTTTCTTTAAGAGCAATAATTCTAACTAATTGTTTGGTTTCATTGTGTTTCCATAGCAGGAGCTGTAGTTCTTGGCAAGGCAGAACAGTGACACTTCCCATCCAAGGCACATCCATGTAAACGGGCAAATTGAATCCAACTGCATGAGGTTATTCTTGTACAGCGATAAGTAGTCAGCAGCACTATACAGCATAGCCCTACATTTCCTTATTTACACACCAGTAGCCATTCCAGCTACCTTAGAAAGTGAATTGAGATTTTACAGGGAGATAATGTTATCATGTCAATGCAGAAAGAAATAAATGTAGCTGCCTGCCATGTTTGTCATTAAAGAACACCCCTTAATGTAATATTTAGCTGAGGTTTCAAATTGGCAAGAACATTCATAATAGGGAGCACCATTTCAAAGCAGGAATGTGTTCATATATTCAGATAATTTGACTACAATTATATATACCTATTACCTACTTGTATATTCATATACCTATTTGTATACACATATATATTGTGTATGTAGCCTTACTGCCCACTAATTTTGTTGCGAAGCTCTGATAGCATTCCTATTACAGACATCCAGCACTGGCCTCAGGCATCCATTAGACAACAGAAGATTCATTTCATCATTATTATTTGCTAAGCACAAGCAGCATTGGCCAGTTTAGGTGTCTAAACTCCAGCAGTGTAAAATCTCCCCTTCTGTCCCTCCAACTGTTGCTGTTAGAGCAGCTGAATAACTGATTTTTCTCATCCAGTAACTAAGATTAAAGAAAAGAAATTATAAAATGGGCTTTAGCTGACACTTCTGATATTTGGGGGAGAAAATAAGATATTTCACACAAGGATCAACTCTTCCCCCTCTAAAGTTCATTGGGTTATCAGAAATATTTTGCTTGACCTATATAAAAAAATGCTTGGGTTTTTTCATGTTATTTTTTTTTAATGTGTTTCAACAATATTTGAACTGAAAATATTGTGTAGAGAGAAATAGAAAAGTAGATGGGTGAAAATGTTGAAAGTGTGTCTAGACTTTTCTGAGTATTTTTGCTGTTTTGTGAGGTTTTATTAGAATTTACAGATAGCAGTGGTCAGTTTGAAATGAGGTTTTTCAGTGAAGAAACTGATTTCCTGAAAGTTCCATCTAGGATTAGGAAGCAGGTAACATGCCCTGACACAGTACTGAAAATATCATTAGTACCCTGCTCATGGACTAAGTGGTAGTTGCTAAATTATTCCATTTTTAATGGCTTATTATAATGTTGGGGATAGTTTTTATGCCTTTATGAAGTTGAGGGTATAATATGCTGTAGCTGGATACAACATGGTCAGTACTTATCCTTCCAGCTGGGAAAAATCTCTGCTGCTTCTGAGTTGCTCCTTCCCAGCTCTTCATTTCCTGCAAACTTGCAGAAATGATTTTCTGGGTGAGCATTCAGATGATTCTACCTTGTTTGTCTCCTCTCGCAATGTCTCCTAATGGCTTTGGTTTTGTTTAGTTTTCTCTTTCTATCTGGCCTTTTGCAAATTCTGCTTTTTTTTTTTTTTGGTATATGAAGCACAAAGATTTGAGTCCCAGACACTGCCAGGTTGTTTTACAATTTTATTCATATTTCCTTCCTCATGGAAATAAGTCTGTAAAAACCGGAACTGTTTCCAGTGGTCTGTATGGGTACTAATAGCTGATTTATGTCACAGGCAATGAAATTTTGAACTTCAACTAGATTGACATGAAGACATATTTCCAGTGAAAACCAAAGAGCATGTGTTACTGCTGGCAAGTGGGCTCTTAGAATGAAGAAAAATCAGTTCTTTTAGCCATAGTTCTCAGCTGAGTGTCTTTCCCTAAAGCAGATTCAAGATATGACATACATGTGAACTAAATTTTTTGTTATCTTTTTGAGATACTTCCTTCGTTACCTGTTATCTCCAAATATTTCTTCTCATATTGTGAAGTCTCCTCTTCACTGGTGTCATCCTTTTGGATGGCAAAGTCTCATCTCTTCCCATCTTCCAAGCCCTTAAAGGGACAATACAAAAAGCTACTTGTAAATCTGACAACATGTTTCTGGAATATCAAATCCGTTTTGCTGTCCATGACCACTATGTCATGTTATGTTGTAGCATTCATAATCTGAACACATATTTTAATACTAAAGAGCATGCAGAAAGTTTTTTGTTTTGGGATTTTTTTTTTTTCCCCCTCTTCCATCTTGTAAAGTCATTTCAGGAATGTTTACCCCAGTGGTGAGAAACATCTTGTAATTCCCACATTATATGATCTCAAAGCCAGTTCATAGCCATTTCTTCCTGGGTTACCCTTGCGTGTATATATCCTTATATAGCTGGTGTGGACATCCCCTGTTCCTGAATTGTATCTGTGTCCCTTTAAGCCATCATTTCAGTAGACTGAACAAGCAGATTCTTTTAGCTCCCTCTTAGAAATTCTCCAGTTCCTTGATCATTGTAATAGTCCTCTTTGCACCCTCTGCTCCAATTTGCATGCATCCTTCTTGAGCATGGGTAACTAGAATTTACGCTGTATTTCAGATAATGTCTCACCAGTGCTTTGTGTAGTAGCATTAATATTTTCCTCTTGTTATTAGCACTATTACAGGTGATGAATCTGAGGATTGCATCTGCCTTTTCAGTTGCATTATATTATGGCACATATTTATCCTGTAATCAACTAGCAAGCCCAGGTCTTTCTCTTCCTTTGTCATTCCCAACAGCTTCTAGCAGAAATTCTTATTATTAGTCCTTTAGTGCATGACCTTGCATTTTGTACTGTTCAATTTCATCCCATTTCTATTACTTCTGTCCTCAAGGTCATCCAATTCTTCCTGTGTGATATTGCGATTTTCGTTTGTGTTGATGGTGCCTCCCAACTTTGTACAATCTGCAAATTTCATCAGAACGCTCTTACTTTTTGTGCCAAGTTTATTAATGAACTGTTAAATGAGATCACTCCAAAGACTGATCTTTGAGGAACTCCCCTAATATCTTCTCTTCAGCCCCATATTTCCCCCTGAAGCATATTACATCTTCACTTCTCCTGTCACCAACCCAGACCTTAGAGTTCTGACTAATTCTCTGTTTCCCCCAGAGAACTCAGTAGTTCCCAAGAGGCATCTGCTGAACTACTTTAATGAAGACTGGAGACATTTTAAGAATTTTAATTTAAAAACTAACTTTTATCAAAGCCCCTCTCAGGATAGCCTGGCACAGTGCAGCTTCAGGAAGCCCATATGGTAAATGTCTGCCCTTTACTCCTTTTGATTCTTTCTTCAAATTTGTTCTAAAATCTGGTAAGCTATTAAAGACTGACTGACAGGTCTTCCCTAAATCCCCTTTATCTAAGAAAATGATACTATAAGAAGTAGGTATAAAGGGGGTAGGTACTGCTATTCCCTCCCCATGTTTTAGTGCAGCACTTTGCTGGCTCTGTTAGCTACTGACAGTTGCTACCGGGGCTGCATTTTCATGTGTTCTTTCTCAACTAGAAGTCATCCAGTCTCCTGGGTGAAATGCGCTGACATTTTAATTTTGTTTCCTGTTTAGATGTAGGTATATTTCTGAATGACAGTGTCATTTCCTAATGTTTGACATTGCCACTCTGAAGAGAAAATAAAAGCAAGGTGTTCATATAGGTTTGTGATATTTTCTGCCCTCTCAAACCATCTTTTCCCCATACCAAGTTTCATTACGTCTTTTTCTTCCCATTCACTGAAATCATGTTGTGATTCGTTAATTTCCTTTCCAAAGTCCAACACTATTTTTCTGAAGTTACCATTTCTCTCATGTTTCACAGCATCCTTATGAACTATGAATCCCTCTTGAATTCCAGAGTTTTGTGACACAATCAAATCTGGCTCCTCATAGCCTGTCAGTGCAGAAGAAAACGCATCAGCTGTGTGCACACACAGGATGCATTAGGAAACACAAGAGATCAGAGCTCCACAAGGCTCACCATGACATTTAACAAATCCTGATGAACATGTTCCCAAGGTTCTTTGACTCTTCTTTTCCTACATTTTTGGCTCACAGCTGCTTGGAGGATTTTATGAGCTTTCTCATCATGTCTGTATCTTTCTCTGGAGGAAGGTTGTGCTGTGGGAGTCAAATCAGTGCCTTTCACCTAGATAGTTTTCAAGCTGTGTCAAACTTCCCTCTGTATTTTGCCTGGAGTGTTCCCAGTATGTGTGGAAGTATGTGGAGTTCAAGCTGTGGTTTAGATGAAGCAGCATTCACAGAACATGAGTTTGATAAGCACAAACTGAGCACCTTGCTGACCTGGCTGAATAGTTCAGCAAGGTAGGTTGTATTAAAGTTTTATTTCACCTCTGGGAAGATGCATTTGGCTGATGGCAGCCAGCTGTGGTGATCTGTGGTGATGTGCACCAAACATCTGAGGGGCACCTTGAAAATTAGTTTTTCATTATTCACATCTCAACCTCCAGAATTACTGTGTAAGCAGAGAAGAGCCCAGTGTCTGCTTTTTATGTGCTGGACTCTCCTGTTCAATATAGTCTATGCTGTTTGATAATTATTCTCTTTTTCTCATGCTGTCTCTTTCCTGCTCTTGTTTATCCTCTCCTGTGTTTTACTCTTCTGATGGCTAGATCTCATGTACTGCATCTCCTCAGCCCCAGCATGTTGGGTTTGATGTTCCTTTGCTATGTAGGATTATACATTTATAATAGACGTTTCCAGACCCTGTGAAGAAGGAATATGTTTGATAGAATGAGGAAAACATCATCATGATTTAGAATCAAGATTTCCTTTATGCTGGGAAGTTTTAAAGCCTTGCCCTCAAACTCTTCCCTTTCTTTGGCCCGAGTTGCTGCTTTCAATATCAGAAACACTTAACTGTCTCCTTTGCTTATGCCACTGCTGCTGGTGTGCAGTGAGCATGGTGTATAATAATAGCAGTGTGACACCACAAGGTGTGGTGATGTGGCAGCCCTGGAATGTGTTACTATGGTGGTTTTCTAACTCCCCATCAGGGGACATCTTGAAAAGAGGCCTTGGCCAGCAATGCTCGCACACAAGGGCAGTCTGACTGAAATCACTTGTGCGGTTGTGGGAATGGGGCTTGGAGAGCTCTCTTCCAAAGAGGCCTCAGGTCTCATTCCAAGGTAAAAATCAAATTTGGTTTGCTTTAATAGAGTTGTATTATGCTGCAGTGAATTCTGGGCTTCTGTTTAAATTACTAGGACAGCAGAAAGGACAGATTGGGCAAATTAATGAAAAGAAGATAGGAAAATGCCTAAGATATCAGTGAATGGAGAA